TTATTTACGGAATACATTTATTTACAAAAAAATGCAAAATACAAAATGTTAAACTTTATTTTCAACTAGTTTTGTAAAGGTAGTGCTCCAGTTAATTCCATTATATTTTAATTTTAAAAAATCAAAAATAATTACACTTGAAGAAATATTACTGATATTCTGTAAGCTTATACCGTTACATTTAATAACATCAATCAAATCTTGATTTAATAACAAACATTTTGACACATAAGCAGAAGCTAAAAGGCACGTTATTAAAAATTAGATGTAATTAAAACTAATGATTCGTTAAAATTAAGTTTAAATAAAGTTTTTAATAATATACATAAAATAAGTTATACAATTGTACCGTGCCACTAAATTTTGTTTTATTTTAGACATACTATTATATTATTGTTAATATAGTTTATTATTGTTAACACTTACCACATACTTGATTATCCATTATTTAAAAATAATAACATAATATTTACAATTTTTAAATTAAAACAAAACTGCAATTAATTCACTGTGAAACTTTTAAAAAATATGTCAAATTATTATGACGTAACGCGCCGTTTGTAACATGTAACACAATCAGATTAAACAGAAAAATGTTTTGGTAATAATAGTAATATATCATAGTGCATCTTTTACAATTGAATATCAACTGTAATGAAAATTTATTGTTGTTTAAAAGCTGATAAAGTTGATCGAACTGGTAAAACCAATGAAATGATTAAAATTATAATTTTTACGAAAATACACGTTTATTATAGGGAAATTCTATGTACACGGCTCAAATGCAATCTGACGTAAAATTTTTTTTTTTTCAATTGTAGCTTAAGAGTTCTTCTATAACATGCATGTATTTCTGTAATCGTAATATTGCGTAATTTTGAGTTAAACTCTTTAAAAACAATGTAAGATGAGTATTTGCATTTTTTTGTATGCAAAAAATTATTAAAATTAAAAAAAAAAAGAAATAAAAATTTTTTCTTAGTAAATTTAAAAGCCGATGACTTTTTAAACAGTTTAAAAAAAAAAAAAAAAATTAAGTTTTCAATTAAGCAAGAAAAAATGATTGAAGAAATAATAAAAATCCTTGAAAAAAAAACAAAAAAATACAGTGTTATGATATTTAAATAGCACTCAACCATTACTGTATCAATTTTTACACAAAATAATTTTGTCAATACATCGTGTATTGACTTTATGGACTTTATTTTATCTTCACGGTGAAAATGGCTACCGAATTATTGTGCTATTATTGTGTGAAAATTCTCGACATTATTTTAGCTTCGATGCGAAGCTGAGAAGGTATTGGTTTTACTAAGATGTGTTTTTTTTTTTTTTTTTTTTTTTTTTTTTT